TGTGTGTGTGTGTGTGTGTGTGTGTGTGTGTGTGTGTGTGTGTGTGTTCGTGTGTGTTCGTGTTCTTGTCACGCAGGCTTTTGACCTGTTTGAGCAGCGCTACGCAGCTGTTAAAATCCACCAGCTCAACAAGAACTGGAGAGAGGAGAAAAAGGAGAACTACCACAAGTAGGTCACACACACACACACACACAACTTAAGATACACAAAGACAAGATGTTTCTCCAGCAACTCGCACACTACTTTGACATTTCTTTCCTTCCAGGCATGCATGCAGGGAGTACCGGATACACAAACAGCTGGACCATCCCAGAATAGTCAAACTGTATGACTACTTCTCCCTGGATACTGACACGTGAGTCACCTCCGACCTCTGCCAGCTGCAGTGCTGCTTCTTTGACATATTCTGACGTTCTTTACCACCCAGCACTGGGTTAATAAGCATTTCTACAGTGGCTTTAAAACAACATGGTGCACATTAGGAAGATTCAAACCTTCCAAAGGGCCCTACCCAGTAAATATTCAAATAATGCACGAGTTGTTTGTATTGTGCCTCTAGGCTCTACGTCAGTGCTACACGTAAGAGCAAACATCACAGGGGTGTTATCGGATTGGGAAAGAGTAAATAGCAAAAGCACTTTATCCTCATCCACATGCCCGGACAATGGAAGTTTTTTTTTTTAAGGTTTAATTGTTAACTAAGCATGTGAACTTTAGTCAGCTGCTCTCAAAAGAGAGTTAAATGTTACGATAATTTATATCTGCTCAAATACACGGATGAAAACATCTATATGTTGAGCGTGTGCCCAGCTCATATTGTACCATGTTAGCAAAGCTTTCCAGCTCACATTCCCGACTGGAAACTTCAGTCAGTCTCATTCAGTAGCAGAGAGTCCTGACTCTGACCCCTGACCTCCATGCGGAGGAGGGGGAAGTTGCCTTCAGTCTTTCCAGCTCTTGAAAGAAACTCTCCGTCCTCTGCCCTCGCAGGTTCTGTACGGTTCTAGAGTTCTGTGAAGGAAACGACCTGGACTTCTACCTGAAGCAAAACAAGCTGATGTCGGAGAAGGAGGCCCGCTCCATTGTCATGCAGATCGTCAGCGCCCTGCGCTACCTCAACGAAATCAAACCCCCCATCATCCACTACGACCTCAAACCCGGTGGGTCATGTGTTCACAACTGTTCTGGATGAATCATACGTGTAGCTAGATGTGTTTGATCTGAATCCTTCCCTGTTTGTGCCAATCATTCTGTCTCACACGCTGTTCTGAGTCTCGTGGTCTTGTGTGGTGCGCAGGTAACATCTTATTGGTGGATGGTACTGCATGTGGAGAAATCAAAATCACAGACTTTGGCCTGTCTAAGATTATGGATGATGATAACTACGGTGTGGACGGGATGGACCTCACATCACAGGGGGCAGGCACCTACTGGTAAGACACACACACACACACACACACACACACACACACACACACACACACCAATGCCCTACATAGACTGACATAGTAACATGTGTTAAGGCCTCTTTTATGGTCAATCTGAAAGGTTCAACACACATTATCCATCTTGTATTTTGACCATTTTCTTGTAGCATATTACCTAAATTCCTAATACTTTTATGTTATGAAGTAATCACGGGAAAGTCAAGGAGTCTGATTTCTCTTTAACATTGTATGAAATTGATTGCATTCTGTGTGTTTCAGGTACCTCCCTCCAGAGTGTTTTGTGGTGGGGAAGGAGCCGCCTAAGATCTCCAACAAGGTGGACGTCTGGTCTGTGGGAGTGATCTTCTTCCAGTGCCTCTACGGACGCAAGGTACACTAAACATCTCCTGCTACACTGGAGAACGCAGACAAACTCGGAAGACAATATACACCTATATGTATTTTTTTCTTAGTGAATATATTTTTCCGGTTCCAGTGACAATAGTCGAGGCAATGGAAAAGACATTGGGTCGGTGGTGATTTTATGTTTTGTTTTCCCAGCCGTTTGGTCACAACCAGTCACAGCAGGATATTCTCCAGGAAAACACCATCCTCAAAGCCACAGAGGTCCAGTTCCCTGCTAAACCACAGGCTAGCACAGAGGCCAAGGTAGCGCGCACACACACACACACACACACACGCACACGCAAGCTCAAGCTCAATACCATGTTACAGAAATATTTAGCTGCAGTCCCGTGGTGTCGGAATAATCAGAAAAATTAGTTCTTGATCATATTTCATGGTTCATCTGATACGTGATTATGATGCCTCCTGGCTGGCTACTACGTATCCTTGTGAAATTTCTTATTTAGTGAAGCACATAGCACAGGCCTTCGTCACATGGTTATATGATATTAAGCTGTCCTATTTTTTTTTTTGCCCCACTTTGGGTGGCATCCCTTTATATACCCAAAACATCAAGGTATATCAACAAATTCAAAACGGCCATAAAGCAGCCCTTCTGAGTGCTACTGTAATGTATAGAGCGGGATATTAAAGGGACGGTACCCTCGGTCTGAACAACAAAGCAAAGTGAATTGTCTCAGGGTATTTATCACCGTTCTGCCCAACCCTTGTAGGCATTATCTTAACAGAGTTGAGACATTAGTGTGTTGTAATTTAAGTATTAATGTCAACCACAACTTTTGAAATGTTTGGCTATTTAATGATATGTAAACATGCTGGAACATCTCCATCATCTATAATGTGTAGCTGTGTGTTTACCTCCAAGTAGACAAAAGGTAGAATTGTTCAAAGTAAATACATTGTGTCTACAGAAGCTCACAGCCTGCAGCTCTTTTTATGAGATGTTCTGATCTGCAGGCATTTATCCGGCGCTGTCTGGCTTACCGCAAGGAGGACCGGTTTGATGTTCACCAACTGTGCTCGGACTCCTACCTCCTCCCTCACATGAGACGTTCAAACTCCTCCGGCACCCTGCAGCCCTCCGCCTCATCCCTCCCCACCTACTGACTGGCTCTCTCGCATGACTGACGGGACCCTCCGGCCAATCTCAAGGCAGGATTGGTGGAATCTGAAGATAATGGATTTTTTTACCTGAGCTGTTTCCAAATGGATGAATACGCAACAGAGCAGAATTAAACGGAGAACGTGAGACGGAAAAGAGTGAAGAAGTGCAAGAGGGATACTCCCTTTGCACACGTTGTGGCCGAGAACTCGACTGTGTGAGATGGGGGGAAAGAACATAACTGGAAAATAGAAGGGAGGGAGAGAGAGCAGGGCAAGAATTGAAAGAGAGGCTCAGCATTGTCTGGAGCCAGAAAAGAAAGTGATGAATCTAGTGGATTTCTGTTTGGACTTTATTGAATAAACCCTTAGGAGACATTTCAACAGCTATAGGAGCTCTAAGATGCCGTTACCAAGCCCACCTCTCTTAGCTCTACAGCATAGTACATCTCACAAGATGGCTTAGAATTTCTTTAACATAAAGCTGCTGTTGTAGATGTTCTCTTATTGCTGATTTGAGGGTGGCATTGACCAGCAGGAAACTGAATAAACAGGGTGAACAGGTGTGCGTTGCAGAGAAGGTGTGAGTATCTGAGCATCAGACATGGCTACCTGCTCTGCAATCCATTGTTATAAGGCACAAAATGATGGTTACATCTCATCGAGTTTACCCTTATAATCTTAAAAGTGATGTTGTAACCTTGATGGGACTCCACTTAAAACAAGAAAAGAAAAAAAAAGTTCCAGATAAAATGTCTGGCGTTGATTTGCACTTCCGGTCCAGGTCGTGGTGATCTGGTCTCGCACATTTGGCATGAAGTACTTCAGCTCGGGCTGGTTCTGAACCAGCACGAGCTCGCCAAGTCCTCGGTTCACATTTGTTCTTTCGTTGCAAAGCAATTCAGATCAACTGCTGGGTTTACGGGAAGTAGGTCTGTGAATCTGTCTTAATCATTTTTTGTTGTTCAGGTAAGAGTCTTAAGTATTGCAGTACCATGTTTTCCTCGACGTCCTCATCAACCTGACTGAACTGAGTGACTGGATCAGCTGTTACTGTACTGCAAAGACTCGGGACTCAGAATCTAATGTACATTTCACGTGCAGGAGACATTACTCACTAGCAAATCCATCATAACGAGGCTTATCCTTGCTTCCCGGTGTCTCACTTTGCTCTGTTCATCTGTGTTTCCTCCTGAAAGCTGTTCTCAGTTTGCTGCTATAAATTTTGCTTTTAGTTTGTGATGTGTGAATGGTTTTTGCCTTGAATATGTGCATACTTGAACTGTTAAGAGGAACAGTCTCCATAGCGCCTCTTCTGAAACCCCCCCCCCCACCCCCGTGCTATTCGGGGTGTGCAACACGGTCTCGTGCCACCGACGTCAATGACCACATGGGTTTCTGTTTATTTTCAAGTCCAACACATGGAGCAAAGTCCCAGAACGCTGTGTAGTGAGGAGTGAATCGCACCTGTTCATGCCAGTAGAGGTGGGCACGCTCCCCAGTTGGCTGTGTTGCAGCATGATTTACTGCAGCTAGAGCGCAAGTGGACATACCCAAATGTTGTCGTTCTGTGAATAAAACACCTGTATGTTGTTGTGACATTATAAACCCTCTGACATACAGGCAACCTGGACTCTGTGCAAAGCACGTCTGTCAGATGAAAGACAAGCAGGAGCAGTTAACGGCAACTTGTGGGTGTTTCATGTTCTCGCTTAAAATTAAATTGCGAGTCATTAGATGAACAAATTAACCCAAACAGGGATGTAGTTTCAGAAACATGACAGGCAGATTAAACTACAGGAAGTACGGGCTTACGGTCATGTCCTCTACCCTTTTCCAGAAGACTATTGGACCCCTCCAGCTTTTGCAGTTAATATGAAACTAATATAAAAAGGTGAGTGAGGTCTTCAAACAATCTATATCAAGTCAGCTAACGTAACGAATATTCATAGGTAGATCATGTTGGAATATCTTTATCACTTTGTAAACGTCTTGATGCCTAACTATAAATATCACTAAATTCCATAAAAGTGCATTGTTATATATTTATAAAATTTATGTTTATATATTTTTACTTTAACTGTCAGTTGTTTTGCAAGTTAAGACAGGTGCTTTTATTTGTCACACACTTATCAATTAAAGCCACATTATGTATGACATCTGTGAAGAGGGAATGTCATACAGACCACCTGAGGCGTCTTCTCTGCTGAAGCTCTGAGGTAGGATGCTTGTGCTCATCAGTAAAGCAAATGGCTAAGATATTCAGTCAACATTTATGCCTTTTCTATCGATAGATGGTTTAAAATATTAATTACTACACTGACTTTTTGTGACATTTTCATGGTATACTTTACTGTGACATTTTTATATATTTTTTTAAAGACATATTTTGACTTTTGTCTTACTATTCTTTTACATGACCATTTTTTAATGTATTTTTTCACGGTGTTATATTTTTCCTTTTTGGCATACTAAACTGACATTTTATGGCATACCATACTATTACATTTGACATACAACATACTATGCTATGACTTAATTAATTTCATGCACACTATAGCCTAGTATTGTTATGACATACTATACTGTGACAGTTATGCACTTTTTTTAAACTTTTTTGGCATTCTATACTATGACATTTGAAATATTTTCTTTCATTTTTACTTTTTTGGCATTATATAGCATATTTTGCTTTTTATACCACGCTACAGTGGCGGGCCGTGCATGTTATACCTGAGCCTTCTGTGCTGTCCTACTGAGCTACGGTTATTTGTTGGTCTAATAATACACGTATTCGTATTAAACCGTTTGGTACGAGGCTTACGAACCGAACAATACGTTTGAATAATACTAGTGCATTTGGAAAATGCAGAAGCTTAAATTGTGGGAAATATAATATTTTCGGTGGACTGCGCTCACGTAACAGACAACGGGATGTGTGACCTTTTGAACCCGGAACAATAACAAAAAAAACGAAATAACCCCGCGATGACGGGATGCTTCGTCATTAACGGACAAGTCAGAATCAATGTAATGAACACAATGACTAGAACCAGTCACATAAAATTGTCAAGCATGACAAATAAATCCGCCGGCCGGCGAACGAAACACCAGACGGCGTTAAATAAAGGGAAAACAGTTATTAAATTATAAAACAGCTATAACTTTGTGATTCTGTTTAGGCCAGCAGAGAAGGCTTAGCTGGGCCCACCACTGCCAGACTTTTTCGTGACATACTATACAATTACTTCTTATTCACCTTTTTTTTTTTCATGATATACTCTCTACAATGACATTTTTAATGAAATACTATTTTTCTACACGATATGACTTTTCCCATGACTTTTTCATGATATGTTAAACTATGACTTTTGTATGCCTTTTTTCATGACCTACCTATGATATTTTTATGGCATAATACATTATTATTTTCGATACCAAATTCTTCTGAAACAGGACCATTGTTAATGGTATGGTGATGTCGCCACCTACTGGTGAAAGTAATGATTGCAGACTAAACAACCTGCATCACCTAGTTGGATTTAAGATTGTCAATTTGAGGTTTGATTGTGACTGATACAATGTTCTACTTGTCTTTACCTCGAGACAAATGTCAACTGTATCTGAACAATATCTGTCATCTAAGAGGTCGACATTTTAACAGAACCAAAAAAGAGAGGAAGAAAAACAATATTTCATGAGATTTTCATATAATCATTAATTAAAGCTGTGCAGATAGAATCATGCCCTTATCCAATTAAAACAAACAAGTTCATTGATAAAACAAGCGTTTATGTGAAAGTAGAGCAGGAAACCACCTGAATTGTAGCCTCTGACAGCGTGGGAGATGCATGACATAGACCTACATTTTGGTCAGCCTATCTGTGAACGCCCACGCTATAAATTCCTCCTTTGCGCGCTAAAGCCACAACAAAGCAGAATGTGACTGTATTTCTCTTGTATTGTCTCGGGTTTTTCATTAAGGGTATCAGCCCGCTTTGGCAACACCTCTCATTCAAGCTGTAGTCACACTTCTGCCCCAGAACAACAACGGGTCACCATGAAGTTAAAACAACTGGTGTCTGCGGTGTAAATGAGCTTTCAATGTGCAGGGGCAGTGGGTAGCAGTACTTCCTGTTGATGTTTTTAACGTGTTGAGAACCAGAATAGAACTGCCAGGTGCCATCTTTTCTCTGTTATAGAACCACTGAAGCTGTCAGTTGGCTTCTTAATGTCTGTTATGTGTAATTTATTAATGTTGGGAATAGAGGTGGATGAATAGCGCCTCTCTAAGGGTGATGGTGCTGCAGTAAGCTGCTCTGGGTGCCCTTTTTTTGTTCTTGGTGGCAACTAGCACAGGAGGATTGTTTTGGCCCGCTGCCACAGATCCACAGGTGTTCGATTACCTGCCACGTCTCAGAGGAGATTGATGATCCAATCGTACTCTGCAGTATTGTTTGTTTTCCCAGGAGAGGGTAATGTAACAGCATCCATCTGTCATAGTTATGCTCTCTTCTTCTGTTTTAAAAGACGAGGAGAGTCGTGTCCAGATGGTTATTTGCACTGGCCAGAGGCACCATTGTCTGTTTCTTACCCTGAGGTTTGACAAGCTTCTCAATGAAGGTATTGTCCTGATGTTTTTCTCTGGTAGTGGTGATGACTAATGGCTCTTCCCCTGGTGTTTGGAATGTCCCTCAGGTAAGGGTGGTGTCTAGACAACCATTTCCAATGGTGTCAAGTCACAAATGAAGCTCTGATGGTGGAAAGGGTGACCAGGGTATAGGGAAGGGAGAGACCCTGTGTATGGCCAGTGTGACCAATCCCCCCCAACACATGTCAAATGGGCAGTTCTTGGTGCTTATCCTTCCCTCAATACCCTCATGCACCAGCATAGGGATTTGGGACAAGGAAGAAAAGTTACTCTCTAATATGACTGGGTGTTTAAATACATCCTTTAGTTTGTTTGTTTCGAGGTTAGTGTTTTGAACCAGGAACTGCATATCTGCAGTAAAAGCCTTTCGTCTATTCATGACCAGCAGATGGCAGGAAAGCACAAATCTACCAACTTAATTAACGCAAGTTTTAATAAAAGTGATTTGTTGAACAATGAGGCAATGGTCATCTCTGGAGTGGTATCCGCAACCTTAGAATATGTTATTCAAATAATGCCCAATTTTAGCATGCTATCTCATAAAACATTTAATTTTACAATCAACACCTGAAATGATGAAGGCACTTGCAAATGACAAGGTCGTGCAAAATGTAAACCATGCTTTGGTGTTTAATTTGTACCGCTTTACTTAAGATTTCATTAAACTTGTTTTATTATTTTTACCAAATGTACCAAAATACTGGCAACGAGGAAGATCTTGGGTAGATGGTAACAAGAATAAATATGAAACAAATTTAAATCATACCCTAAACATACCCTTTAGTCTACTGATCATATAATGTGGTTAAACACAATACATACGATGAGTTTATATTCCATCTCACTTCCTGGTGGTCTATTGTATTCCTATAATATTTCCACAAGGGGTTTGTCTAATTTAGCTCTGGCATGTAGTCTGTTGTATTTTTAAAGTTTATTTTCGGGTTAAGAATTTGCTGTCATCGGGCCTTGGGATAGGGTAATTTATATTTTTGGTTTTTGGACCTGTGGTCTCAGTAAAAGCCGCGCTCCTTGTATCAGCAAACTACGACTCCCAGCATTCACCGCGGGGATCCTGGGAAGCAGAGCTCGGCTCGCCCGGACCAGGCTCGGACGCGGAGCTGCAGTTGCACCTCTACAGCGGGTTTGGGAAGCCGTGAAGCCGCTGGATAAGCGTTTTTAATCAACGAGTCAACACAGCGTGGCATTTCTTTTCACCGTTGTATTTTCCAGACGGGAACTTTCAGCATGGGGAATGGCATCAATAAGGTAGGATTTCCCATCTGTTGCACGCGACCATCGTTGAGTTCACACTCACGAGAGGTCTTTCGGTGTTTTGAGTGCAATTAAGGAGACGTCATCCTCACTAGAGTCTTTTAGATGTTTATTAAAAAACAGTTGTGCTGATTATATTTGACAGGACTCGGTTAGAGAGTAGACGTCTTCAAAATAATCAAACATAAACCATGAACTTAAGTGGTCAAACTATGAATATTTAACATAATGGGGATTGTTTTACCTTATATGTTGGTTATAATTCTAATCACATGATCTAAAGTTTAGACTTGAACCTATTATTCTTAATAATCACTGTTTCCAACCCATTAACTACAGATGTAAATTAGTTTATAGCTAACTCAGCTAAGAAGCTGTGCACTGTCCCTGTTAAACACACACATAACTAAAAAATGCTTTTACTATGTCTTCCTTATGTGTACATGTGTATCTCTGCCCTTATAGGTCCTGCCTGACCTGTACTTGGGGAATTTCAGAGGTTTGTCTAAGTGTTCTTTTTTTTAATCATTTTGATTTGGTTCGTGCATATGACAACACAAACCCATTATATTTGTTTGTGGTGTCATTTGTTTGTGTCAGATGCAAGAGACCGGGAACAATTAGCCAGAAACAACATCACACACATCCTGTCCATTCATGACAGTGCAGCTCCCATACTCCAGGTGAGAAGCTCTCTATTGTTATAAAAAAAAAAATATATATATATATATACACACAACATCTTTGCCCTAGTGTGCATCTTAAATTGCCTATTAATATGTTAAGTGAAATGGACAAGCAAATGAGGCTGAACAGATGTGACTGGGCCCTCTATATGTGTACTAGTACCGTGCACATGACTCGAGCTCTCAGACCATAAACTGGTCTGTCAGGTCGGTCGGGAAGAGGCGCCATGCTACTTCTTGAGCAAACGGTATTCCTTCCCGAGTGAGTGAGTAAACAACAAGCAAGAGACTTTTATCCTCATGTGATAGTTGGAGTATCATGAAAAACGCAAGTCAACCACAGTTGGTTTGGTCAGTGTGCCGAGTTGTGTGCCTGCGTGGGTTTGAGAGTAGGCGGTTGTTCTTGCTTCAGCCAGTGTGGACTGTGCTGTCTCGCTCCATTATTTGTTTTTCAAGGTTTTTTTTTTTTTGTTTTTTTATGTAAAGTTTCTCTTAAAGCTGTAGGTACAAAATCAGACTATTTTCTCAGTATTGTAATTTTTTTTAAGGAGGGATGCACAGGTGTGACTACAAACCTGCGTAACATTGCCTTTATTCTTCCACATACAAAAGCACGGCGTGTGTCCACCATCAGCAACAGGCACATGGAACCTGGAGAGTGTTGATGATGGTGTTCACCAGCTGCTGATTATTGATTTGTGTTATCAGAGCAAGTGGCTGCTGACGGGTAACAAGTAGTATACTCTTTCCCTTAGGAGATGACCTATCTCTGCATTTCAGCAGCTGACCTGCCCACACAAAACCTGTAAGTACCAAGATGCAGCACAGCAACACAGCACAGAACAATGAACGGCTGAGGCACAGAGAGAGAGAGAGAGAGAGAGAGAGAGAGAGAGAGAGAGAGAGAGA